CATAAGAAAAATATTTTTGGTTCAGAGAATTGCATGTAGTATATTTTGTACTTGATGCCTATATATTGAATGTTGTCACAATTAAGCAAAGACATAATATACATCATTGCAATTATATAACTGTTTTACTTTTGGTCTTAGGGACCTTTGCCTATTGCATTTCAGGGAACCCTTGCTCTCTACCTCTTGAAGCCTTCCACAGAAGAGAACTAGGATGGCAAACAAAGAAACAAGGAGGCAAATATGAGTTAAATTGGAAGCAAAAACTTTTCAAATATACATATTCTTATAACCTTAAGGAAAATTGACTTAAAATGGTACATAGATAACACCCCCAAAATTTCAAAATGCTATAAAAATGCATCCAATATCAATTAAATTGATATGTTAATTGTTTAAATTCATATGTTATGTTTATTACTAGGCCTGGGTAACAACGGAAAAATTTGTTTCTAAAATCGATTTGTATTTGGGGTTTTTTTTTGTTTCGATATTTAAAATAATTACAAACTTTTCCTTTTAAAAAGTTCGATATTTACGAAATTTCGTAAATGGTAAAAAATTAACGAATCGATTTCCGAAACAATAACGAATCGATTCGTTAATGGCGGACGCGACCGCCAAATACGCTAAAAAACCTCCAAAAACTTCTGAAGCTTCCCTCTCCCTCTGTTGTTGACTGTTGGTGTGATATTATAATTTTTTTTCACTAATTAAACCATAAAACTGGCCCAGACATGCGGAAATAATAACGAAACGACCTCAAAACAATAACGAAACGAATACAATATCGAAATACGAAGCATTTACAAAACGTTTTTGAAAATTCGTTTTTTTTAATAATTGCTCCAGAATGGTTCGTTATCGTTTTGTAATTGAAAAAATTAACGAATTATTAACGAATTACGAATTAACGAAACGAAACCGCCCAGCCCTAGTAGATACCTTTTTCCACACTTGGTGGACCTGCTCAAAAGCTAAAGACATTTGAAGATTATTCAAAAAGATATTCAAAGGATTCTAAAAATACAAATTAAAAAAGAGCCAAAATACTTTCTGGAGGTACAATATTTTCACAATATAGAAAAAGACATTAAAGACCAACAGAGACAATTTTATTTCATCTTTTTTATTTTTCTTTCCCACTATTCTCTTACCTGTAACAAAAAATGTTCTACTTTTGATGTAAACATTTTGCCTTTTTTTTCTTTCTTAAACTTTGGAAACTCTATTAATAAAAATATTTGAAAAAAAAGTCACACTACATAAGGTTTTTAAGAAATGGTCAATTTTGTTTTACAATTATTGAAAAATTATTAAACATTTTCTTTCTCAACAGTAACTTGCATGATTTTTAGATTTCTCATATCTTTGACAGCCATAACCAACATTATGTAACATGTAACCGAGACTCAGATTGTTAAAATAACACAAAAATACATGTAAAAACTTGCTTGGGCATGCCAGAAGCATGGACACTAGAGGATGGGGAGGTAGGCAATGATGTAAAACTTTTGTAAGCAAGGTATTTATACATTTGGATTTGTTCAAGTTTTCCTGCTTCTGCCAATTAAAGAGTTAAGACAAGAAACAGAGTTAAGACAAGGTAATTAAGTGCAAACATTGATGAGAAGGACAAAATTTTGTCTTTCTTCAGTCATACTTCTTAATTCAGTTGCCATACTTATTCCATTTCTTGCTGATCTCTACCTCTCTGGATGGCACTGCTGTTTATTAACACTGTGGTGAGTTGGTTTGTGGACCCCAGATAATGCAGTATCCTCTCTGGTCTAAGAAGGTAGAAGAAAGACGACTAGGTTCTGTATTCATAGCTTCATCTGTCTGATGTTCCCCAACCACAAACTGAACTCCATTATAAAGTTAGTGTGACACTTTCCTTTTGCTCATAGATTTTTTTCTATACCAGTAAATGTGTGGGAAAGTTTTTAAAGAATTTTGATTGTTTTTAATCTATGACCATAAATAAAAGGTGACAGCTGGCACTCCTAAAGAGGACCATTCCATTTTGTAATTCATGTTGTACATATGCAGAACATTTCTGGTCTGAATCAAAAGAAAATTGGGCAATTGCAGTGACAGCCAAAGCTAAACTGGAATGAAAGAAACCCAAAACACAGTAGTTTGACTTCCTGATAAAATAATATGTAAATCTCATATGTGAACCTTGGTCCCCCTGGACCCCTGGGTGATTGCTAATAGAACTGGGCACACAGTTTTGCACAGGTGTTGCAAATTTTGTTGGTTTTTATAAGCAGGGCAAAAACATCTGGCTTTCCAGATCCTCTGGCTCTGAAGTCACTAATTATTTCCAGTTGCCAGGAAGTAAGGGATATTGCTGCCACGAATCAGCTTTTGTGGGAGTAGAATAAAAAATAATAATAAAGGGAAGGAAAGAGAGTAAATGATACTCACATCTCAGAAGATGGTGTAATATTTTAAGAAACTTAACTGTTAAGTGGCTTCCAGAGGTCTCTCATGACAGAATGAGATGTCTGAGCATTTGGGGATGTCATTTGAATTGAGTGGCACAGCAATATTCGTCTCTGAATCCCTCTCAGTGTGTATGCTAACTGAGGCATCCAATCCACTGCTGTATTTGTATAGAGGAATGAAATGTCTTATGCCAGTAGGTGTTTACCTGGAAGCAAAATGAAAACCGCACATTTAACCTTTTAATGTCATCCTATTTTAAATTTGACTCAGCCAATATGCTTGACTCAGCCAACTGTGGATGCTCTAGAAATATAATCACTCCCAAGCTAGCTGATGAGCTGGGGTGCAAGAAAGTAACCCCATAGCTTTTTCCCAGTTAGATGGATCAGTGGCATCAGGGACCCTAGCGAAGTATGTTGAGGATGTAAAATGCAAAATAGCCAACTGGGAAGGAGGAGTGACATTTGTGATATCCCAAGTAATTAGTGATAGAGGAGTTCAATTTACGGCCAAATTTTCGGAGAAGTTCATGAAATTGCTAGGGGCAGAAAGAAGTTTGAGCTCAGCTTTTCATCCAATGACAAATGGAGGGGTCGAACACACACAACAGACACTGAGACATTTCCTGAGGACATATTCAAATTATCGGCAAAACGATTGGGCAGAACTCCTACCATTCGCAGAGATGGCATTCAATGGGGCCCCACATTTAGCAACAAGGAAGTTCCCGTTTGAGATAATATATGGTCAAGGGGTAGCTCCCTTGCCTCGGCTGCCGGAATGGAAGGAGGGAGGACTTGCATGTAGTGGGGAATGGCCGGATAAGATAAAGGAGTGTTGGCATGGAGTGGTAAAGGCGTTGCAGGATGCCCAAAAGAAATATAAGCTGTTTGCTGACCATAAGCGTAGGGAGGGGGATGAACTGAAGGAAGGAGATCTTGTGTGGCTTTGTATGAAAAATCTCAAATTGGGTTTTCCCTCGAGGAAGTTATCCTCACATTATATAGGCCCGTTCAGGATCTCCAATCAAATTAATGAGGTTACATACAAATTGCACTTACCCAAAGATTTGGGCAAGGTACACCCTGTGTTCCACTGTAGCCTGTCAAAAAAATATCAAGGATCTCTGGACGGAGAAGGACTATAGAAATAACTAATGTTTCCTTTCCAGGAAGAGGAGGAGGAGGATGCCATGTCAGGATCCAGCTTCCAGGCTTTGGGTTTTGGCACTGGAACCCGGGGTCCTGACGTAGAACATTGATAAGACTCTTGCAGCTGCCGACCTTGAAGGACAATGGCTTGTAGCTTGGCGGGAATGTTAAACAGGCTTTTGACTTGGCGGGAAATGTACTTTCAAATGAGGGCGTGTGTATATAAGGAGGGACCGACTGGTGCCGAGCAATCTTGGCTTTTCACATGTCCATGTATCCAGTAGTAAAGTTTCTCGTTGATACCAGAGCGCATTCCTGTGTCTTCATTGGGAGCAGCTGCTGTGAGCTGACAGATAAGTGCTAAAAATCTAATTGATGACAAAAAAAGAGGTTTTGCCCTACCAGAATTGCAATTATACTGCACTCTAAGTTGGGTAAGGGATTGGGGATAAAAAAGAAAAGAAAATCCTAGCCCTGGAGGGCTTTGATATTGTTCAGGGTTGGCATGCCTATCTTTGGAGAGGGAAGGAAAAAAAGAAAAGAACTTTAGAAACCATCCGATACGAGCATCACTTATCCAGACATGGAATAAATACAAGGATAGATTCTACCAAAAAACACCAATGTGGTTCTCCTCCAACAAAGCCTATCATAAAAGATAGGGAGAAGTGGCTAACCTATAAACAGTTGATAAAGACCAAAGGACAAGAAATATCACTAAAATCACAAGAGGAACTTGCATTAATAGACCCCTCTATCTCTTGGTTCCAATACCATCAAATTAAAGAAAATTTCAATAGAGAAAACATATTAGGCTTTGAAATGAAAGAAACTTTCTGGGACAAAATCTTAAACACAGATACAAAATTAATAAGAAAAATATATAATCAACTACTAATATGGACCACTGAAACTGAACAAATAAAAGAAAATATGATAAAATGGTCAAAAGATATAGGTTAATCTATACCCTTAGCGAGCTGGGAAGAGATTTGGCAAAAGAAAATCAAATATGCTTATGCAACTGACCTTAAGGAGAGTTGGTATAAGATATTTTACAGATGGCACTTAACACCAGAAATTCTTGCAAAAATTAATAAAGGCAAAACGAAAGACTTATGCTGAACATGTGAAAAGGAAAAGGGCAATTTTATCCACATGTGGTGGAGTTGTAGGAAAGTTAAAAATTACTGGTTACAAATACATAAAAAAATAGAAAAAATCTTAAACTTGAGTCAAATGGCTACAAGGACAGAGGTGGCCGCGGTTTGATCCGCTCCGTTGTGGCTGGCCTTGGGTGTCTTGGGACCTTGTCTGTGCCTTCCCAGAGAGAGAGAGAGAGCGCCATCGTGGCAGCCGACCCTGGGCCTGTAGCCCCACCCACCGGGCAACAACCATCCAATTCTCCATCTAGTGCTGCTTTCTGCAGAAGGAGCATCCTTCTGTCAGCCGAGCCTTCCCGCCCATGGATTGGCAGAGCACAGTTGAGCAGCCAATGCACAAAACTACTGTCTGAGCATGGCTGAAGACCATGGTGATCTTGTAGCAACCTGGACACTTGACGTCCATGAAGTAGGAGTTGGGGCTCTGGACCAGACGCTTCTTCTTGTGCTTCCGCTTCTCCTCCTCAGGGGAGGGATGCAAGAGGTCCTTTGCGAGAGGCATGTCCGTGTGGAGGCAAGGAAAGGAGCCATGCCGGAAAGAGAGGGCGCTATATCCGCTTGACGCGGGGTTTCCCCGGAGGGAGGGTGGAAGTCCAAAAAAATCTTAAATATAAAATTTAACCCAAAGCCGGAAACACTACTACTGGGAATATTAGATTCCAAAATAGAAACGAATAAAGACAAGATATTCTTTTATTTAATAGCAGCCGCGAGGATGATCCTAGCGAAAGTATGGAAAACAAAAGAAATTCCTACAACGGAGCAATGGATAGCAAAAATAATGGACATAATAAATATGGATATACTGACGCAAAGAATCTCACACAACTTATACAAAACCTCAAAGAACTAACTGGAAAGCAATTCTGGACGTTATAAAAGAAGAAAGCAAAGATATATATATATATATATATATATATATATATATATAATGGACTTGTAACTGAAATCCAAGGAAAGTATAAACAAGAAGATAATAATAGAACTAAGTGAAGTTAAAAATTTGTCTGTGCGTGTATGCATATGTTATAATAGATAAAGATGCACAAATACGTGTATATATTCATATAAGCACAAGCATGTATAAAAATATAATTGACCGAGACACCCTGGGTAATCCTGGAAATACCCCACCTTACCTATCCCCATTCCACTATATTCCCCTCCCCTTTACATGCTATCCTTACCCTTTCCCCCTACCAGCCTGCCACTCCCCTTTTTACCTTACTAGGTAACCCCTTTTTATTGTAAACGTGAAGCAATCAATAAAAATATAAGAGACAAAATTCCAGGATCACTTCAGAGCTTCCAGGATAAATCTTGTATTCTATTGATTCACATTAACAGCTGAATGCAGTATAGTTCTGCTGTGAATCTAGACATGCATTATGTTGATGAGTCCACTGTGTAGCAATGAGCCCATTGTGTAGACACATTCTAGGAACTTCATCATATGGGAAATTTTACCTGTTGTATAACACTTTCACCATTGTTGGAAAATGGAATCCACTGGATCCCATCAAACAACGAAGAGCTCTGTCCCTGAATTGTGGTGAAAGTATTGTATGATGGAGAAACAAGAACATGGGAGACTTCCTGAGTTCTCATTGCCAGCAATTAGGTGAGTACAGGGGGAGGCTGGGCAGTGAGACTTTCCCTTGTGGGATAGGGAAAGTGGTGCTGCAGGCGATGTGGGGCATGGAGCGAGGAATTTCCCCACTGCCTGCTGGATTCATCACTCTGTTTGGCGAATCCCCCCCTCCCCCCCCGTCGCCTGCAATCATGTAATGAGGTCCTAAGTAAAACTTCAGTCTACAGCCTTGATCATCTTGAGTGGCAAAAACCACAGCTCTCCTGTATTGCTTTAGAAAGATCTTGCTGGTTTAGAAACAAATCCTTCCACCAAATTAGATAATGGAACATGATGATTTTATTAATAATAAGACTTTACTTATAAGCCGCCCTATCTTGAGGGGACTCAGGGCAGATTCCAACAAAAAGGCAAACATTAATTGCCTCAATGTAACAACAAATATAAACATAATAACACAAAAAACCCAAACATATAAAAATACATTATAACATGACACATAAAGTTAAATAAAATGCAAATTTCTCAAGGATAATGTAGCTCTTGTTGATTCAATGATCAAAGTTTATTCTTCACTGTAAACTTATTTTTCCCCACTGGAGACATTTTCTGACAACAATCCCAAACAATTTGTGCAGTGCTTTCTAAACTAGGATATGGTCTTGGCAATCTAACCTTGACTAACAGCCTGTTCCAAGCACTGTTCCATGAAGCCTTTCCAAAGGCATATGCCGATCCTCTGACACACTGAGAAGGCTCATATGCACAATGGACTCTCTTAGCTCATGTCTGGGCCAAGGGTTCTCAAACTTTGTGAACCTTGCTAAGTTGAGAAAAGAAGTCTGAGTTTCCTCAAATTGAATCAAGGTTCAAACAAAGGCAGACAGGTCATTGGAAAGCATACTACTAGTGCAAAAGCCTTGTCTCAATGGAAAGAAAACATACCTTGTAGACTACAGGAAAAAAGTATCCACTTTATGGCTGGTCCTCCAGGTGGCATTGCTTCACTGTGGAATTGGGTGGAGGAGTTAATGGTGGTCAGTGAGTGATGAGCATTCCTGGAAGAAAGTGGTTCTTTCCTGGGTTTAATTTTTTAAATCATATGTCTGGATATTAGTATTTTTAATAGAAAATATGTTTATTTGATAGCATAACAGGGAAAAAGGTGTAGCATCTTTTGCTGTGTGGTCAAAAATAATGTGATTGGAAATATGGACCATCCCCTAATAGCAAGATGTTCACCAAGAGAAAATTTGTCTTGTTATGGTGATCTTACTATGAGTGTAGCATTAATGAGGCTACTGCAGGGACAATACAAAATGGTCACAAACAAATTATTTTTCATCAGCATGGTCATACTGCAATACTTTGAAGGCTCTTGGATGATGCACCTCAAGTGGTCCTCCTTAACCAGGAAGAAGTGTGCAATTGAGAAAACTCTTGTTGCTTCTTCTGACCTTGACTTTTTTGTACCCAGTCAGAATGGCCATATACTTTGATGCAGAGCTTTGTAAATATCAGCCTGACTTTGCCATACTATGGGGACAGGTTGTGCAGGAAGAGGGATACATGCATAATAAAGAACACAGAGAAGAATACATACACTACTGGAGAACCAAGATAAGAAGGTGTATCAAGTGACTTGAACTTAATGACTCGTAGACCTAAGAATCCATACCCAAAACCATAATCAAGTGCCACATGCTCATCAAAGCTACTGCTGCATGAGTAAATTGAATCACAAACTAAATCAACTTGGATTTCCCCTGCCTATATTAGCTGGAAAAAAACCAGAGTGAGAAGATTCACAACTCTCCTTTCAGTCTACATCACCTCACTGAGTACAAGGAGCATTGGTCAATGGGAATAAGTAGGTATAGCCAATTAAAAACATGTAGAGCAAAAGGTCAACTTTCTTTTTGCTAAAATGATGTAATTTCATATATAGGCAGTCCCCAAGTTATGAACAAAATGGGTTCTGTAGGTTTGTTCTAAAGTTGAATTTCTTTGTAAGTTGGAACACATACATTTTTACAGTGTTACTCCAGTCATATATGTATGTGTGTATGTGTGTTTTGGATAGCATAGGGAAGGGTTAACACTAGTCCTGTGCATTTGCATAGAATCACAAACTAAATCAAACTATTTGTTTCTGTTTGTTTCATTCGTAGCCCCCCCCCCCCAGTTTTTGTTATTGTGCACCTTCCAAAAATGGGCATTTTTTTGAATGAGCTTTTTTGCTCCACATCTGGAAAAAAATTGACCTATTGGACAACATGGGTAGGCTTCCTCAGGATCCCCTTCCCTTTGGTTTTAGGGCTAGAGGGGAGAAAATTATCACACATGGAGGGAATATCTATCACTTTTAGCCCACCAAGTTTTATAACGTTTGGGTAATCCCCCAAATTTTAGGGATTTTTTTCTTTCTAGAAAGAAAATCTCCTTAAAAACATACCCCTCCCCCCCGGCCCTACCCTCTAACTTCTCCAGTAGCAGCAGCAGGAGGGAGGCAGGGCAGCAGCTAGCCATGGCATTTAGAGTCAGTCTAATGATTATAATATATAAAATCATGGAATCGGCAAAGAGGAGTAAGTAATAATATAAATCTGTGCTAAGTTGTAGTTATATGGTTGTGTGTCAATAGGGAAAGCATATTAATTGGATGTCAGAAGAGTTTGGATGGTGCCTTTCTCCCCGGAAGAAAGGGATCAGCCTAGATGTCCCTTGATGGTGTTATAAATGGCAGTTCCTAACTTTGTCTTTGCACAAGGGACATCGACCTATATAGAGAGCACATTTTGCTTTGTTGAATCTCCACCAATTTAACACAGTTTCTGCCACAAAACAAAGTTTCTGGAATAGAACAATGACTTTCAAAGTAAAGTTCACACAATGAAACATGAAATAATACTTTCAAACCAAGAATAGATTTTCTTTATTATTTAAAAATATTTTATAAAAAATCTGTAGATAAGTCAAACATTCTAAAATTTGGTGACATAACAGGTATACATGTGTTCTACCATTGTCACAAGTTTCACCCCAATAGCTTTAAAAAATGTGGGAGATATGAGTCCTTGAAATTTCCCCACTGGCAGTGATGTCTTCCTTATTGAGCATGTGTGACTGCCGTTAACGAAGTACTTAGGAAGATTTGTTTTGTTAAGTTCTGAAATTTTCACCAACCAAAATTCAGAAAGACTTTAGAAATGAAGTGCCAACGTCCCCTATTTTTGGAAGGAGTTTAGAACCATGTTTTATAGATCACACATGCCTATTAACCACATATTATCTTAGACACTTTTGCATGAGTATCTCTGCCATTTGATGGGCCCTTCACTGATTCTTTTATAACTAGCAAAAAAGACATCTCATTGGTTTAAATGTTCGTAAGTGAAAAAGGTATTCAGGAATAACCTATAACCACAACTGCCTTCCCCTAGTGCACTCGTTTGTTTGTTTTATCTGGCAATACTTTTTGAAATAGTTCTGCGGATTGTGTCATGATGCCATCTACAAAGCACTAGTCCATTTTTTTTGCAAATTTCTTCCATGTCTATTAAACTGGTTGCTTGGAAACATGGAAGTATATTTCCCCAAAACAATGGGGAACAGCTATATCATCATCATATTAATATTTTCAGTTGACCTGATTAGCCACCATTTGCTTATAAAAATATCTTTATTTAAAAAGATACATATAAAGTACAAATTAATTAGTCTTCCTAATTATGATTACTCAAATCAAATTAAAATAGCTTGTTCATTTCTTGAATTTACTTTGAACATTATTACCATTAATGTATTTTACAGCTGAAATCAATGTACTAATCTACTAATTATCAAAACCTACATATTGTTTTCTTTTATGTGCAAAAAAAAATTGCTAACCCTCGAAGGTCACGATCTCAGAGTGGGATGGCA